AGATCGCAGATCTATTTTTTCAAGGAAGGCCTGGGCCTGAAGGCAACCTATGGTACATGTTTTGTGGGGTGGGGGAAACCAAAGTACCCAGAGAAAACCCACGCAAGCATGAGAAGAACATGCAAACTCCGCACAGAAAGACCCCAGGTCCGAACCGGGGATCGAACTCAGAACCTTCTTGCTGTGGGGCGTCGGTGCTAATCACTGAGCCGTCATGCGCAGAAAATCCATGTCCTGTTCTCTGATTGGCCCGAATGAAATGCTCCCAAAGAAATCCTTGTCTATGGGAGAAATCCCACACGGAGCAGTGAAGGGAAACTGGAATTGAGTGGAACTTCGTAGGAAGGCAAGGGTCAGGCTAGTATTTGAGTGAGAGAAGAACATTGTGATTAACTGTATCAAAAGCTTTATGTAAGTCTAAAAAAACAGCACCAACAACCCCACCTTTTTCAAGTTGTAGTCGTATTTGCTCTGTATGGTGTATGATGGCTGTTTCTGTCGAGTAATGCTTCCTGAAGCCAAACTGTACAGGGCTTAAACCTGGGTTGCAGCCATTTAGATAGGCTGTTAGTGGTTTTATGACCACTTTTTCTGCTACTTTTGATATTACTGGCAATATACAGTATCTACTGTTAGATTTAAAGTTTTAAGTTTACTTTCTTATAAGTGATAATACTCAACAGACAAAAAGCAAAATAGAAATATGTCTTTGTTTTATTGGTTAGTTAATTTAAATATTGTCTGACACTTATAGGAACCCTACCACTGCATAAAACTGCTTCGATCATCATTTAAAACTTAACTCTTCCCCTCTCTTAGCTCTTTTTTAAGAAAACTCTCCAACACTTTTAAACAGAATCAACAGACTACAGAATCTTAGAAACAGACTCTCCAGGACAAAGACAGCTCTGACTGCATGTCATGTTCTGGATCAAACTCCTGAAGCAGGCAGCATGTGTAGTTTCTTCCTCTTAACTTTATGGGCTTCACCTTTAACTGACTGTACATGCAGTGAAGCTTGTTTGTATATGAAATGAAGCTTGTGTACAGTGAAGCCAGTGTGTATGTGCAGTGAAGCCAGTGTGTATGTGCAGTGAAGCCAGTGTGTATGTGCAGTGAAGCCAGTGTGCACGTGCAGTGAAGCCATTGTGTACGTGTAGTGAACCCAGTGTGCACATGCAGTGAAACCAGTGTGTACCTGTAGTGAAGCCAGTGTGTATGTGTAGTGAAGCCAGTGTGTACGTGCAGTGAAGCCAGTGTGTATGTGCAGTGAAGCCAGTGTGTATGTGCAGTGAAGCCAGTGTGTATGTGTAGTGAAGCCAGTGTGTACGTGTAGTGAAGCCAGTGTGTACGTGCAGTAAAGCCAGTGTGCACGTGCAGTAAAGCCAGTGTGCACGTGCAGTAAAGCCAGTGTGCACGTGCAGTAAAGCCAGTGTGCACGTGCAGTAAAGCCAGTGTGCACGTGCAGTA